TCTGACACACCCTAAAAATGCGGCGTGTTATCGGGTTCAGAAGATTCTGTGTTACGAACTTTGCCCTTGGTCGACTCGGTCTCTCAGCTCATACTCTGACTGCCGACCTGAGTGTTTTGGAGTCAATCCTTATATTTTGCGTGCGCATTGATTTAACTCGCCTTTTCGAACATGACACGTGGCAAGCCAGGATTCGTACCCAACATTGGCCCCCACTTCGGCGGGTTGAAGGTCGACTCGGCGAAGGACTCCGAGCTAACTGAGGAGAGGTTGAATCCACGCGTTCATGTGTGACGTCATGGGTATCGTCAGTCCTAGTTTTTGCTTCGAGAACTCAAACGTCACCGCGGGGATCGCCTGGCATGGACAAATCTTGTCCGTTGATCCTCCCTCGATCGTACGGCTCTTGTGCCTCTAGGCTGTCCTATAAAAGGCGGAGGTTTTCATTTTTTACTTTTCACTTTTTCACTTCGAAGTTTTTGTGTACCTCAGCCGTTATCCAAGTCAGGTATTCTCTCCTTCTTCCTTTAGGTAGTTCTTTTAACCTTGCCCTTTAGATCCGACCATGAGTAGCTCGTCTAGCGATTCGTTATCTGGGTCGTCCAGCTCGTCTAGTACAGACAACTCTCTAGAGGGACCGAACTTAGCTTCTATCTTGGGGAACCCTTGCGTCGAGGATAGCTCGGCAAACCCCAATGTAGCCTCCACCTCAGGAAACCCTAACCTTGGTCCGGTAGTCAAGCTTCCTCCCTCGACTTGCTCGGTAGGTAGATTAGCCGAGCTCCGCAAAACCTACTTAACCCCAACCATAGAGCTTAGGGTGCCCAACGTTGGCGAGTCTCTTGACGACCCTTCTCTGGGCTTCGTCAGCTTCTACCCCCAGATGTTTAGTATGGGGGTTAGGCCTCCACTTCACCCTTTCATCCAGAGGTTTCTTAGCGCAATCAACCTCGCCCCAGCTTAGCTCTCTCCCAATGGGTGGTCTACTGTGCTCGATGCTTACGTGATGTGGTGGATCATCCGGGATGAGGACGAGGATAGGTTGACAGTAGACCAGCTTCTCGCCACCCACACAGTCAAAGCCTCTAACGAGGGGGAGGGTAGGTTTTACCTCTCAGCTCGGAGAAATGTAGGTCAGCTTATTAGGAATCCCCTTCTAACAAGAATTGGAAGGAGTGTTGGTTCCTCGTCTCCGGCTATTGGCTCGTGAAAAATGAAGAGGGTGAGCCGATCTGCCACGTTCCTGTAGAGTTCGGAGACATAGGTGAGTGTCTTAGGTGTGATCTAGGTTGTTTTTTACTCTCACGCCTTTGTTTCTGACGAGGTTTTATGGTGCAGCTCTGCCATCCCCGTTCCGAGGATCAACAACAAGTCTTGGGACATCATCAAGCGAGCCCAAGGTCGAAGCCTAAAGTCCGCGCTGTGGGGTGAAACACTCGTCTNTGCTTCGAGAACTCAAACGTCACCACAGGGATCGCCTGGCGTGGACAAATCTTGTCCGTTGATTTCTCCTCGATCGTACGGCTCTTGTGCCTCCGGGCTGTCCTATAAAAGGCGAAGGTTTTTTCATTTTTACTTTTCACTTTTCACTTCGAAGTTTTTGTGTACCTCGGCCGTTGTCCAAGTCAGGTACTCTCTCCTTCTTCCCTTAGGTAGCTCTCTAGATTCCTTTTGTAGGTTTGTCGATGAGTAGCTCGTCTAGCGATTCGTCATCTGGGTCATCTAGTTCTTCTAGTTTAGATGACGTTTAAGAGGATCCGACCTTAGCTTCTACCTTAGGGAACCCTTGTGTCGAGAGTAGCTATGCTAACCCTAATATAGCCTCCACCTCAGGAAACCCTAACCCTAGTCTGGTAGTTGAACTTCCCCCCTCGACTTGCTCGGTAGGTAGGTTAGCCGAGCTCCGCAAAACCTACTCGATCCCCAACTCCATAGAGCTTAGGGTGTCCAACATCGGTGAGTCTCTCGACGAACCTCCTCCGGGCTTTGTCAGCTTCTACCCTCAGATGTTTAGTAGAGGGGTTAGGCTGCCACTTCACCCATTTATTCAAAGGTTCCTTAGAGCAGTTAACCTCGCCCCAACTCAGCTCTCTCCCAATGGGTGGTCTACCGTGCTCCGGGATAAGGACGAGGATAGGTTGACAGTAGACCAGCTTCTCGCCACCCACACAGTCAAAGCCTCTAACGAGGGGAGGGTAGGTTTTACCTCTCAACTCGGAGAAATGTAGGTCAGCTTATTAGGAATCCCTCTTCTAACAAGAATTGGAAGGAGTGTTGGTTCCTCGTCTCCGACGATTGGCTTGTGAAAAATGAATAGGGTGAGCCGATCTGCCACGTTCCTGTAGAGTTTGGAGACATAAGTCACTGTTTTAGGTGTGATCTAGGTTGTTTTTACACTCATGCCTTTGTTTCTGACGAGGTTTCATGGTGCAGCTCTGCCATCCCCCGTTCCGAGGATCAACAACAAATCTTGGGAGATCATCAAGCAAGCCCAAGGTCAGAGCCTAAAGTACGCGCTGTGGGGTGAAGCACTCGTCTCAAACTCCCACCTCTTCTCCAACGGTCTCAGTCCTGACGACCAACAAGACGAGTTCAAGAAGCTTCCCAAACCTCGGCAACGTACCTCACAAAAAAGGAAAGCTCCGGAAGGTAATCTGTCCTTGGCACTTTAGCTCGTTTAAATGTAATCTCTCGACTAACCTCGTCTTCTTTGTAGGGATGGCCTCCAAGTTCCATGCACTCAGCAGTACGAAACGGCAGCAGCCTCGGCCTCGGCTGCCCCACCGGCGCCTCCTCAAGCTCGTCGTCGAACAAACAGTGCTGATGTTCCGGCTCTCGGGCTGACTAACTTGGCCAAGGAAAATACTCCTCAAGCCCTTGCAGACCGTTGTCGGGGGCAAGGAGTCGGTTACCCCTCTGCAGCGGAAGAAGCGGGGGAGGAAAATGCTTCCCTCCGAGGAGGTCAACTCCAGATATCCACCTCCCTCCATCGTTGTCGACTCGGAGGAAGGGTCGCAACATGGTTGGCGGCATTACGGCGAGCTCCCACTCCCATTCAGGCTCGCCTTCTCGCGCCTCAGCATCCACGAGGCCTCGACGAAAGTGAGGTCCTCGAGCTCTCACCTGGTGGAACGAGCTATCCAGGCGTCCGAGGACCCTACGGAGGCTGTGAGGAGGACTATAGCTCTTGCTGTCGAGGTGAGCTCGTGTGCACTCTTCCCTTCTTTTTCTCCTTTATGTCCTTTAATCTAACCTCGTGCTTTCGCAGCTGCACTATCATGCCTGCCTCTCGGCATGGATGATGAGCTTGGAGCTTGGAGCTCGGATGATGGGACTTAAAGGAGGAGGAGACGAACGCCTTCTACAAGTGGAGGATCGCTGAGCTTGAAGCTGAAGTTGACCAGGCTCGAGCTGAGAAGGAAGCTGAGGCCGATAGGTCGAAGGCCTTGATAGCCCAAGCTCGCACTGACTTGAAGAATGCCCAGGGCCGAGCTGAGACTGCGGAGAAGAGCTGGAATGAGGCTCAGCAGAATTTAGCGAGCTGGGCCTACTTGGAGAAGAAGGTCAAAGAATTCCTCGAGTTCGATGGCCTAGCTCGCGACCTGGCGAACAAGGGCTTTTACTATGCTATCAACCGGCTCGACACTACTTGCTCCGAGGAAGCCATTGCCGCTGTCGAGCTGGAATATGAGTCTATCTAGGTGGACCGCCCGGAAAATGGGCCGAGGCTGCTGATGCCGAAGCAGGGACCAGCAAGCATACCAACCCTCCACAGGAATAGATCGTCCCCGCCTTCTGTTGCTTTTTCTCCTTTTGTTTTTTTTAATCAAATTACTGTACTGAGCCGAGGCATATACACCTCGACTCTTCATCAAACTTTTATTTTAATGAAAGGTGGTTTCGTTCAGACCCGAGTTACTTTTTCCAAGTCCCTATACCTAGAGAAATTTTAATTTTAATTAAATTTCAGCTTTAGTTTTGGTCCAGGTCTCGTTATCCGAGCTTTTAAAGTCTAGATAATTTCTTTCCTACACAACGACTTACGAGCCGAACAGTTCAGCTCATCGGTGTATTCAACGGAAGCACTTGGGATAACCAGGTTCCTACGAGCTGACCATTGCTTCCAATGTTTGTAAAAACATAACAACTTAGTGTAGGTCTTTTAGCATAGGTCATACCACGTATTCTTTGGCCCCTATTTGACGTAGCTCGGTAGTAGTAGATGACACTAACGAATAAAGTCAAATTTTGTACAAGTCATTGGAGATCGGCTTTCATAAATGAATGAAATTTACACGTCGGATTACACACGTCTCATTGATAATAAACTCGCAAATGTTCGGCGTTTCATGGGTGGGGGCGTTGTCTCCCGTTGAGGTCGGACAGTAGATATGCTCCAGGTCGGAGTATTTTCAAGACTCTGTACGAACCTTCCCAATCGACTCGAGTGATCCGACATGCTGCATTGCCTTCTTGAGGACGAGGTCACTAGGCTTGAACGTTCTGACTTTTACTATGGCATTGTAGTACCGAGCCATACGGTTTTGATACTCTGCTAGCCTGAGCCAAGAGTGAGATCTTTTCTCCTCGAGTAGGTCAAGATTCACAAGGAGAGCTTCACTGTTGGTTTGCTCGTCGAAATGTTCAACTCGGGGCGTTGGCATGCCTACTTCCACTAGGACGACGGCCTCCAACCCGAAGGCTAGGCCGTATGGCGTCTCGCCAGTAGATCGGCAGGGTGTAGTTTAGTAGGACCACAACACCTCTGGTAGCTCTTCTGCCCACCGACCTTTCAGAGATTCCAGCCTCGTCTTCAGACCACGCTTGATGATCTTGTTGATGGCTTCAACCTACCCGTTTGACTACGAATGGGCCTGAGACGAGCTGAGGTGGACTATGCCGAGTTGTTGACAGAACTGATTAAACCGGGCACCATCAAATTGTTTTCCATTGTCGATAATGATGGCGGTCGGTATACTGAACCGACATATAATGCTCTTCTACACAAAACTGACAACCTTCTCCTCAGTAATAGACGTTAGAGGCTCGGCTTCCACCCACTTGGTGAAATAGTCTACTGCTACCACGGCAAACTTCAACTGCCCATTCGCCGTCGGCAATGGGCCGATCAGATCTATCCCCCACTGAGCGAAAGGCCAAGGGCTTGAGATCAGCGTCAGCATCTCCGAGGGTTGTCTCAAGATGCTCGCAAAGTGTTGGCACTTGTCACATGTCTTGGTGAACTCCTTGGTGTCGCGTTCAATCGTCGGCCAGTAGTAGCTCTGGCGGACGACCTTGGCAGCCATAGACCGAGCTCCTCCGTGGTTTCTGCAGACTCCTTCGTGAATCTCGCAGATAACATACCTCGCCTCCTCTGGGTCGAGGTACCGCAGCAATGGTAGGGAATATCCCCTCTTGAAAAGCTTGCCTTCATGCATCAAGTAGTGAGTCGCTTGACGTCGAAGCTTTCTGGCCTAGCTCGGATCGTCAGGAACTAAGCCATTGATCATAAAGTTCTTAATTGGGTCCTTCCACGTAGGCCGAGCTGACTGGACCTCCATTACTTCAGGCTGGTCGATGGACGACTCGGCAAGTATTTCAACTGGAATCGTTCTCAGCAGGTCGGTCTCGTAGGCCCAGGCTAAGTGAGCAAGTGCGTCGGTGTTGAAGTTTTCGGACCTCGGCACCTGTCAAATCACATAGTCTTCAAACTGGGCGAGGAGCCCTCGTGCCTTGGCCAGATACTTCTCCATACGAGCATCATTCACTTGGTACTCCTCGGTAATCTAATTGACGATCAGTTGGGAATCATTGAGGATCAAGAGACGCTTCACACCCATTCCCCTTGCGACCTTCAGACCATTTATCAAGGCTTCATTGTTCGAAGCTCGGAAATCGAACCGGAGTGCGTACTCGAACCGAAGACCACATCGGCCGAGGAGTAGCATGCCTGCCCCACAATCCTTCTCGTTGGACGAACCATCCACATAGAGTGTCCACTGGTCACGGACATCGCCCCTTGCCTG